AGGGAAAGGAGAAGAGCTAAGAAACATGAATAAGTCAAGCCATACAGTTATATGTAGAAGATGGGCAAGGCAATGATCCTAAGAATCTTCAGAAGATTTTATAATCTAGCAGTTAATTGGAAAGATTCTCACCCTGACTAACTATATATACTGATACTTATGAACTAATCTACTGCACTGCAGATGGTAATTTGTAATAGTAGTTTCATGCTTGAAGTGCCTGTCATTCTGGTCTTCTGAATATGGGCTGCTTGTCATGACATGCCAGTTGCTGCTATGATGTCTCTTGGGTAGATGGTTGTTCCCCAGTCAGCTTTGCCACAACCTATTTCCAGAGAACAGGCCAGTGGTTGCCACGGACTAAGAAGAGAGTTAGGGATATGGAACATCCTTGTGATAACGGCCCGTTATGCATCTTGACATGGTGTAGACTCACAATCCTACACATGTGCTAATAGTACATAGCACTACAAATGCACACACATACACACAAGAGCAAAACTTGGGAGATCTGGTTAAAGTAGCTTGGTTCATCCAATCCATGTCAATATCTGGCTGTGCATTGTGCTATAGTTTTGCAAAGTGTTACCCCTGAAAAAGGGAGGAAAGCATACTTTATTATTTCTTCAACTGCATGGTACCCTACAGTTTTCCCCAAAATAAAATATTTGACTGAGGAAATAAAAACTGTAACTAATCATAAGCAAATGATAGTTAACATAAGTCCCCCCCCATCCTCCTCACAGCCCTTTAATCAGATCAGGGCAGTCGATATTGACTGCAGTATCCATTGATGAATATGGAGCATGACCTGCACACAAGGCCCTGGCCAGATGCAGACCCTGCATAGTTAGGGCATAAATAATGCTGCCATCATTACTATTGATTAAGGAGACATGACCCAATAGGAGTATCTGTGTGTGCAAAGACCAGCTTTGAAAGGGGGGGGGCATTAAATCTTTGCAGTGTTTCTCCAGACCTGGTCTGTACACACAACATCTAAGCACAGGATTCTGCTTCCACCTAGTGCATTTGCAGTCGTATCCACAGCCAGAGTGGGCAGTTCAGGCAGGCTGTTTCTGCTTGAGTGGTCCAGGTAATTGCAGAATTGATACCTAACTTTACCTCCATTCAAAAATCTTCACCCTGTCTCCTTAATCATTTCTTTAAAATGTTACATTTTCATTTCTGTTTCCTCATCTGGGTTCTACCCTGTTTTAAAGATACAGTCAATACCAGAGACATGCCAAGCTATATTATCCACATTCAACACAATTACAATGAAAATAAGCCACTCTGGAAGACAGTCCCCAGAAATTAATTATCACACAGAAAGTGAATGCAAGGGCCTTTTGTTATCATGATAATGAAATCACTACCACCTTAATACTCTTGAACTCAATCATGCCTCTGCTGAATTTCTGCTGAATAAACTGAGAAAAATATTGCCATTTACTCTCCAAGGAAATTCATTGTTTAATACGACGACTATTTTTTGTTGCACAGGCTAGTGGAGAGTCTAGAGATATACAAGTAGCTGGAAGTTTCCTTTGCTCCCGGAGATGGATGAGAGACCCCTTCCTTTTCTTTTTGGCTCTTTGCTATTATTTTGCATTCCATTGAAGTATTGAATCTATATTTTGGAGAAAAACTGCTAAGACTTTTAAAAATATGTTAATAGGCTTCACTCCTCCCAGGCACTGGCTTAGTGCATTGCTATGGCACTTTATTTGACATGCTTCACAGGTCGGTGTTGAGTTTAGATACTGAAGCAAACTAGCCTATAAAATACTGTGCTGTAAATATAAACCTTTATGAACCTCTTGGGATGGTCCTTCTAAAATGTGAATTAAGATATTCCATGATTCAAGCCCATAAATGCAGAAGTAGCCATCATCCTGCGTAGTAATTTGCTTTCTGAAACCTTCGAATATAAATTGCCTTTTGCCACTGCTGACTGAATTCTGAGTTGGTGTGTGTGATAGTCACTAATGATGAAGTTTTTAGAAATAGATTTTAAAAGGAGCTCAAACTATGTTGGGCTATTGTGGCCTTTGACATATCCTTCTTTTACTTAGAGGCTAATTGTTTGCTTGTTTGTTTCTTGTTTAAAGAGCCACCATATTTTACTGCTGAGCCCGAGAGTCGGATTTTAGCTGAAGTGGAAGAAACTGTGGATATCGTATGCCGAGCCATGGGTAAGTGCTGGCAGCAGCTGACCCGAGCCTGGTGTGGAGGGAAGACAGTGACAGTGTCATCCTTTCAGGGAGACAGCGTGAGCACAGGTTGGATGCCCACTGTGGAAAGTGGAAGAATCCAATAGTCAGGCCCCGACCTTGGGGAAGTCTTCCACCTGGCCTAGCTCTTGCTTTCTTACCTATAACAGGGAGTGCTGCTATTGACCTTCTCCCACCCCCTCTATCCCAAACAGAGAGGCCATGGCATGGCCCAGGACTCCCCCTCAGTTGCTCAGGTTCTATAGGGTGTGACCTCTAGATTCATCCCCACAGGATGGATAGGCAGTCAGGACCAATACACAGAGGAGATTGTTTTACACTTTTATTAAATAAAAAAAATTTCCTATTTTTCTGCCTTCTCAGCTTTGCATTGACTTGATTCTTCAGGTAATTCTCTCTTCTTCCCTACCCTGGGCTGCTAACTCCCACCCCGGTCAGGCAGCACAGGGCTTTCCATACTCCTCGGGGAGAGGATCTCTTCAAGATGTGTTCATTGACAAAACCTGTATTTGGATTCTGGCACCTGCAGAGATTAAAATGATCATTTCCTGACTGTGTAGATGTGGTGCCTAGAGAGTTTCTTCTTCTGCCCTTCCCCAAGAACTGAGAGGGTGAGGGTTCTACTTATTGTGTAAACTTTTGAAACCATTCCCTAAGGAAGATATCATCTCATTGTACACGTGGGAAACCCAAGACAGCAAGGTTAAGCAGTGTGCTCAGAGCCATGAAAATAGAAGGAGATACTGCTTGTAAAATCATCATCCAATGCCAGCACATAGAAGTTGCTCATTAAATGCTGGGTCACATGGTAGTGGAGCCAGATCCATGCCCTGATTTAACCACTCCTCCAGGACACCTGGCTTCTAGGGGGCTGCGGCCTGGGGCTCAGAGCAGACACTACGCCCTGGGTACAGCCATATGCATGTCATTCTTTACTTCTAAAGGTGTGTGCTGTGTTGCTCTGAGCAGCGTTGGTGGCAGACACATCTGTGGTTTGTGCAGCACTGCTCCTGCCCAAGGACCTGTTTCCTTCATCACTCCAGTCCCAGCTGCTGGTCACCTCACAATGGCCACCTTCTACAATCTGTTCTGTTCCTGTTCTGTGTTTTGGCTTTATTGACATAGCTGCAGGGGAGGGCAAGAAAAAGGCAAGAAGAGAGATTTCTGAATTTCAAGTGGATATACTTTCCTGTGGTTGCATTGTTCTTATGTAAACATCAGTTTCTTAAGGACAGTTCTGTGAATGTGAAGCTATAAAATATTTAGAATGCTTGTATTTCAAAAATGAGAGTATACACTACTGGGGAGATACGATTTCTGTTTATAGCATTAAATTGCCCCCAAGTAAAATACTTCTATTTCCCCCTATACTAACAATTATTTTTCAATAAACGACAACCTTAAACTCTCCCTTTGACAAGAGAATGTACTGTTTTGCATGATTTCTACAGGGCAAACTGCTTGTTAAGCATAGATTTATAAATATATATCAAGCAGGTCTTTCAACATTGCTCTGCCATCATATAATTTACTACTTTCTGTTAATTTTGACAATGAAACTCTAGCAGCATGTGAAGAGGGGATTCTTTATGAAAGCTACATCATGTACTTGCCATTATGAGATTTTACATGAATTGGTTATGCTTTTACCTTGAAATGGATTTTTTAAAATTTCCTGTTATAATGAAAGGTGACAGGAAACATAATTAAGGCAAAGAACAGAATCTGAGAACACATTATCTTGAAATATCCATGATATTAACTTTATTTATTAAAGTGGACGTATTGCCTCTGCCTACATAGCCTCTTGAATCAAAGGATTTGGGTATGCATGCCACTGAATCATAGAAAGATGTGCTTTTTATTGCAATCCATTTTGTATTTATGGAAACTGAGGAATAGAACTGTATAAGATCTGAACAAGTCTAAGTATTTTTTCACTTGCCTGTGCCTGCTGTTTTTCTGGAGTGCATTGTCTTGCGTGGGTTGGTCTGGCTCTGTAGGTACCTTTATAGCCTACCCAATTTACCCTCCTTGGGTAAAAATGACTCCTGGACTCAAAGAATGATCAGGGAGAAGTCCCAGGAAAGAATCCTGTCATTGCCAATTGTCCACCCATATGGAGAAGGCACCAGAAGAGCTTAGTGCCTCAAGCCCAAGGTCGCCCCATGCAGCAACATGGCAATACTCACTCATCAGCTCATGGGTTACATATCCTGACTTCAGTGGCACATAGGACAAGCCACATTAGGATGGGGACAGACTCTTTTATTTACAACACAGGTTCTGCCCTACACCCTTCCCGACCCCACTCCACCCTCCTTCTGAGCTGGCTAAGCATTTCTCAAATCCTCATTTCTTTCTGTAACACTACTGCAATGAAGAATGAGCAAGCAGTAGTGCTGTGTGGTAAGTCTTTCCGGCCCTCCCATCCTCCTCATCTAACTCTTTGCCATGTTCCTGGATCACTAGGCTCCTGGAGTATAAGAACAGAGCCATGTTGCAGCCCCTCTTTGCCATCTGCCTGTCTCATGTTGATCCTGTTATGATCATATTATGATATACACAATGTCACACCTCTCCTAGATCTGCCCCCTTAACCTGACACATCTCATGTACCTGTCACCCAATCTGATGACATGTCAGCCCCTTGGGCAGAGGGCATACTAATCACTTTTTTATTGCTGGGACAAAATATTTGACGTCTGAAACTTAAAAGATGAGAGATTTATTTGGCTCATGTTTTTGGAGTGTTCAGTCCACAATCAGCTGGCTCCTAGGCAAAAGCTGCATGGCAGATGCATGTGTCAGAGGAAGGCTGCTCAACTCATAGCAGCCAGGAAGAGGAAAGAAAGGGAAGAATCAGAGAGAAATATATACCTTCCAAAGGTGTTTTTCTACCTTCTCCAACTGGCCCCAGCTCCTAATAGCACTTAGTCATGTACTCATCAGTGGATTAATCCATTAATGAGTATAGAACCCCGATGATCCAGTAATCTTCCAAACACAAGACTTTGGGGGGGGGACATTTTTATCTGAACCATAACAAAGAGTATTTAAGTGATGGCTCCCACTTTGTAGTTGTTTATATCAATGAATTCTATCCATCAAGTACTCACTGTGTGGCAGGCAAGAACTTTATAGATAAGCCTTTGAAGTCACACCAATCATTTCCTTCTGTGTATATGAGGGAGCAGAGAAAAAAACCAGGTGAAATACTCTGCCCAAGAGGGTACAGCCAAAGAGGGACAAACCTAGGCAGTGATCTTTGTCCTGCTGCTCTCACACTGGCCCTACAGGAACAGGGTCAAGCCTTCATTTCCATCTTCACCTTGGACCAATCACAGTTCAGTCTTTCCAAACAAGAGCACAAACCTATGTTGTTTTGGACCAAAACCTGGAAGGCTCGATCGGTGGCCCGGGCATCCAGAGATGGCACCCACTCTTCCTCTGTTTCTGTTTTCTCCTCTCTCTTTTTTATTCTCTGCATCATTTCCCTCTCCCTCTCCTTCTCTCTTTGTGTCTTTATACTGAGCTACATCTCTAGCAATATTTTGAGACAGGGTCTTGCTAAGTTGCCCAGGCCAGGCTCAAATTTATAATCCTGACTCGGCTTCTCAGCCTTCTAGGATTGCAGACATATACCACCATGCCTAGTTCACTCTTCCTGATGCCTCTCAGTGTCAGTCACTTCACAAAAGATGAGGAAAATAATTCCTTATAGGAAGTTGAAAGGGCAAATAGATGACAAAATGCCTATGAAAATGTTGCCAGCTTAGCCTTTCAGCCAGTTTTGCCTCAGCCCTCGGGTAAGGGACTGTTGGAATTTAATTCTTTTAAATGCTCCTTTACTTCCATTCCTACCCAGGGGTCCCTCTCCCCAACCTCCAGTGGTACAAGGATGCTGTTTCAATCAACAAGCTCCAGAACCCTCGGTATCAAGTAATGCCCAGTGGAGGCCTGCGCATCCAGAAGCTGCGTCCAGAAGACTCTGGAATTTTCCAGTGCTTTGCCAGTAATGAAGGAGGAGAGATCCAGACCCATACCTACCTGGATGTAACCAGTGAGTACCACCCATCTGCAAAACCAGACTACCTGGATGGGCCTTTTGGCCAGACCTCCCCACATTATGCCCTGCGTGATACAGGACAGTAGCATCCCCTAGCACCTGACATGAGTGGATAGGGTAGAACGGCCAGAGGTGACCTGCAGGGGAGGGCCATACCACAGGCTCACCTCAGTCCACTTTGGGCCCCTAGGAAACCTTGCCAATGCCCAAAAGCATAGAGGACATGCTGGTCTCTCACAGTGCCCAGATTCTCCTGCCTGTGGTTTCCCACCCTCCAGTACTTGTGCCTCCCTCTTTCTGAAAGAGAGCAGAAAATAGTCCCCAATTTTTCTGGACAGAGTCAGAAACAGTACAGAGTGAAGAGCTCAATGCTAATCATTTTCTTTTGATCTTTTTCCCATTTTTTATATCCATTCCCTATTTTAGTTTTATTGAACAATTATAGTTCTTTTGTGAGTTTCTTTTATTATCCCATTAACAGAAATACCTCGGTACTCTATCTTTGAAAAATAAAATAAAGGTAAAGGTTTTCACTATATCTGTGGGTTTTCTTTCTAATCTCCCACAGTCGTAATATTGTTCTTCTAAAATGAAGTAGAATTTAGTAATTATGGAATTACACCTTTCGTGTTTGCCCTTTTGGAAGCAAAGTGCTAATGTCCCAGGGAGTGAGAGCCATTGAGAAGGCCAATTGATAGCAGTGTGCACGTGGCCAGTAGCTCTATCCGTCATGGTGCATGAAGAGATTGGGACAGCTTCTAAGAATCCACACATCTATGCAGTAAACCTAAGGTCACTTCCCTGACCTTGGTCCAGGGATCAAATTTCTGCTCACATTTGGACCATAGAAAATTAATATTGCTTCAAGTTGTAGAAATAGGGCCAGGGAGATAGCTCAGTGGAGTAAGTGCTTGCCTGGCAAGTGCAAGGTCCTGAGTTTGATCCCTGGTACCACCAAAAAAATAAAAAATAAATATAAATAAAAAAATAGAAATATGGTAGAAGTAATATCAGATGCTTAAGGCAGAAATTGAGTTAGGTCCACTAGAACTAGAATGATTTAAAGCTTGCCATGCAACTGGTCAGGATATTGAGGGAAAGGATGTGGTCAGGTATTCTTTTAGAGTCTGACTATAAATATTTGAATTTTGAGGCATAAGTTCTCTCACAGTAATTCAGCTTCATTATGGTAGTGTACAGGCAGGAGGAAATGGGAGTATCTGTGTTCTAATAAAACTTCAGGCAGGAAAATAGGTGACGGCCTATATTTGGCCCATGGGTTAAAGTTTGCAAACCCACTCAGTCCGAGGCCTTAGAACTGGAGGACAAGGTGGTCCCCAGTGCTCGTTTAATTTCTCTCAGTCTTATTTCCTGTCTGTACATCTGGAAGTGTTTATAGGGTTCTGAGTGTCATACTGGAAATATGAATGCAAGTGTTTATTTAAACTGGTCACCATGATTATAATGCTTTATTATCTGTTTCCTAAGTATAGAGTGCTTTTTTTGCAAAGGGAAGTTTTTTACCAAATTAAACTATCCTTAATAAAAGGAAAATGTAAAACATAAAATAAAATCAATACTGAATCATTGGTGCAGCCAACAGTTACTGTGCAACTGGTTAGGCTTTGGAGTAGCTTTTGGTTAGGCTTTATGAGGAGCTCGTGTGCTCCAGGACAGAGGGTGATTGGGGAAGAGAAAGACAGAGAGGAGAAAAGAAGCTGGCTTAGAGTGGGTGCTATGGAGAAGACAGATGCACCACAGAGTGATGGACAGGAGGGCCTCCAAGGTGATGTTGAGATGAGACCCGAAGTAAGAAGGAGCCACCCAGGACTCTTGGAGACATGCCTCTCTCAGAGTGAGTGGGGATTGCAGGGGCCCTTGAGGCGATGAACAACCCTCATTGTGAGCCTTCACCTGTGTGCAGGTAAGAGGTGGCAGGTGGCTAGGATGGAGTAGGAAACAGGTAAAGGTTACACAGGCTGGAGGGCTGGTGACAACTGAGGTGCTGCTCTCAGTGCAGGTGAAGTCCCTGGGGTATACATAGGTGCTTTCCCATGCAGGCCAGGCTGCCTGTGAGGCAGGATTAGAGGCACCAAGACCAGCAAGGAGCCCCTGTTATCATCCAGGTGAGACCCAGGACTCAAGGGTTCACAGCTGTGGAAGAAATAATCAGCTTGGGTGGGGGTGGAGGAGCACCAGGACTGCCTGTGGGCTGCCAGGATCCTGATCATGGAGAAGAAGGTGGCCGCTGCATCTTGGTCTTTGGGTCCTGCCTACTTCCCGCCAGGGACTGTGATGCATGACCTAAGCAGAGGCAGTCCCTGTTACACTGGGTTATCAGCATGGTTGTTGCTAGAGGAGGACAGTCAGGAATACCCTTGCCCAAGCCAGTTTGCCCACATCTGTCCCTGAGCTGGAGCTGGTGGCCCCTGCATCCCCATGAATGAGAAGCACCCTGACACCTGTGGAGGTGGGCATGTCCCTGTAGCCTGGGTATTTCAGCTGCCACAACAGGTCCTGGAAAACATGAATGTGTCATCTTGTGGTGGGTACTTCATATTCAAAAAAATAGCTTTTCCTTTTAGTTAGAAAACAGAGGTAATTTGCTTGGTTTCTCTGAATAAATGCCTCCCCTCTCTGTAGCATTCACTAAAACTGTTCCTCTTGGGCCCTGCACTTGGCAGCTGTGTATCTCATTCCTCCTCAGGCTGTAAGCAAAGCTAGGTAACTCCTGGGAGACAAATAATGGGGAGGTTATAGTTACTCCTGAGAGGTTTTGCTTTTTATCACTGTTATCTGTGCAATTGATTCTGCAAAGTCAGTCTGGGTCTGCCCACCAGGCTTTTTCTTGGGTCCTGCCCATTTAGGGACCATGCACTGAGCTCTCACTACCTTAATTTCTCTCCACAGATGTTGCCCCAACGTTTACCCAGCATCCATCTGACACTACAGTGACCGATGGGATGACAGCTGTCCTACGGTGTGAGGTGTCTGGGGCTCCCAAGCCTGCCATCACATGGAAGAGAGGCAGGTGGCTTCCACTTTCCAGATATGCATGACCCAAGTATAAAAGAAATCATCAGGCCACTATTGTGTTCAGTTATTTTCACACTCATCCATCCAGTCATCCATTCAGTAAAGATTAAATAGCCATTTACCATTCACTGAGTGCTCCGGCTAGATACCAGGGCTAAGGATGAATAGGACAAACAAGACCCCAGCCTTCCAGAAGAGAAGCAGACATTACAAAAAATAAGAATTGTGCAAATGTCACTCTCCTTTAAGCCCTCCTAAAGTGGCTTCAGCTCCCTGTGGACCCTTAAAATATTAAATATTGGATTTGAACTAAATTAGAAAGTGTGTCTTTTTTCTTTCTCTTCTCTGTTGGCATCATTTTACACCCTCTCTACTTCAACCCTGTAGGCTTAGTTTGAACTATGTTTCCAGTTCCTGTGAGGGGTAGTGTCATATCACAGGCTGGCTTTGTGGTCCCCATGGTCCCTTTCATAAGTCAGGCGCATGGCAGAGCCTGTCTGGGACAAGGCTGTGCTGAATAGCATTAATTCATGTAGCTTGATGAATCAGGCTTGAAGGGTTGATTTGGAGGAAACTCCCAAGGTCACATCTGATCTACACTGCCAGAAATCTGCATGGTGGTTTTTCCACCTCAGGGTATAGTTCTGCTATTTTAGATCTAGCTGGGAAAGATTTATGTGTGTATGATTTTTTCTTTGGTGTGTATGTGGGAGTTGGTGGTACCAGGGGTTGGACCCAGGGTCTTCACACTGTCACACTAAGCTATGTCTGGTCCTTTTTAATTTTTATTTTAAGACAATATTTCACTAACTTACCAAGGCTGGGTGTGAGCTTGAGATCCTCCTCCCTCAGGCCCCCAGAGAGCTGGAGTTACAGGTGTGCACTACCATGCCCTGTTTGCTTCTTGTATCTTACGTGTTTCCTATTTTCTTTCGTAATCTAGAACATAATCTTATCTTTATATAGAAAAATTTCAAATGCATATAAATACACAGAAACATAAAAACCAGTCACCCAAAGATAATGATCTTGTACAAAGATCATATTTGTTTAACCATCTCTCATTATTGGACAATTAGGATGTTTAATGCTAAGAATGCTAAGAAAAGTAATTTGGTTATTTTTGTACTTAAAATTTTCACTTTAATTATTTCCTTAAGCTATGTTCTTAATCATTGCCCTAATTCTTTCTTTTCTTTCAAGGGTTATGACTAATATTCCTCTTTTCTCTACTGGTCTTCAGGAAACCACATTTTGGCCAGTGGCTCTGTCCGGATTCCTAGGTTCATGCTGCTGGAATCGGGGGGTCTGCAAATAACCCCCGTGTTCATCCAGGATGCCGGCAACTACACGTGCTATGCGCTCAACACGGAAGGCTCCCTGAACGCATCTGCAGCGCTCACCGTGTGGAGTAAGCCCCCCGCCGCCGGCCTGCGAGCCTCCCTCTCACTGTGCTCTCGCTGGCACATCACCCATGCCTCGAGGATGGCAGTATGCCCTTGACTTTCTCGCTTAATCAAAAGAAAATGATTATTTTTGCAACTAATTTACAGAAATCTGTTGAGTAATTAATTTTTTAGTTTGTAGGAGAATAATTAGAAATTGTATTCAAAGATTTGATGGGACTGTTTCAGGAGAGATAAAAGACTTTAAAAGTCAGAGGAAAGGGCTGGGGAGATGGCTCAGAAGAAGTGTTTCCCTGGCAAGCACAAAGGCCTGAGTTCAATCCCCAGTTACACACACACACATACACACACACACACACACACACACACACACACACAGAGTCAGCACAAATGTCATACCTACCTAGCTCACTAACAAAACTGATTATTGATTAATTTTATGAGGAAACTGAACCAAAAATTAAATCCTAAAGGAAGAATATTTTTTTCTATACTATCTTGTGATCAAATATACCTCCAGTTTAGTTTTCTACAACTGTTTCTTATATGTTAAGAGCAAACTGGAAGAAATTTCTCATTGTTTGTCTAGGTATTGTTGTTTTTATTTTATCCATGATACTACTTTCTGAAATGCAGAATAAGTTGTTTTCTGGAGCATAAGGATTAGAGTACCAAATAGCATCCTCCCTCCTTTTAGCTCCAAGTGCCAAAGTATTTTTTCCTTTCTTCTTTATCTAAATCTGTAGCACTAAAAGCTCATTTTTCAAAACAGCAAACGACAGTACTCAATAACAGATTTTCATAAGGCTATCTAATGAGGAGGGAAAGTTTTAACTTGCTTGAGTGAATAATATGTTAAAATGTCACCCTAAGGAAAAATCATTGTGCTTCATTTCATATTTGTTTAGGATTTGCTATCATATGGTTGGTGTCCACTTTGATAAATGATTCTTTTCTAACTTATTAGGTGTTATAAAAACATCAAGAGCTTAAAATAAATGAATCCAAATTTTCACAATATTGGCAAGTACTAAAAAAGAGATTTTGTTCCATTTGGTGGTTGGACTCAACTAATTCTTATTCATCACCTGTCTCTAAAAATTGACCATGCATTTAAAAACTTGCACAGAAGAGAGTTCTAAATCTCTATAGATCACTCACCAAAAAACTTTATAGATCTGCTAGGATTCAAAATTAAAATCATACTGAATGATTGGTATAATATTTCAGTGGTCTACAGATCATTTGTAATGTGTATTACCTCTGGTAGTTGGTACAGCTTGTAGGACAGTAGCATGTCCTTTCATAGACAAGAAAACAAGGCTGAGAAACATTATTCTTGATGCACTGGTAGCAGGTGGGCCTTGAACCTTACGCCTCCCAGGTGCAAAGGTGTGTGTGGTGTGGGGCCCCACCTTGCACAGGCCATGTATAGGGAGGCTGGTGTTCTTGATGGCAGCCGTGGAGCTGGGAGCCCTGCCCCTCGTGAGCTCTGTGGTACTGGGCAAGTGGCAGTGATCCCGAGCATCTGTTTTCATTCCTGAAAACCAAGAGAGATAATATTACAGCCTTCAGCAGATTGCTGTGAGGATTAAATAAATTAACATAAATGAAAGCACTGTGTGAAGTCACAAAGTGCTGTGGGAATATTAGAAATTGATAAAATGGTGATTATCTTGTTGAAGAATCTGGATATTAACCAATCGTCTACGCATGATCTTCTAAGAAAAGAGGGTCTTGAAGACTTGGGGGGAGGGAGGTTAACTGACAGCTGGGAGCAGAGAGCCTTGTTTGAAATTGCCTGAACATTTCTGAGCACTTCCATCTACACTCCTTTTGCCAAGATAAGAGGAAATTTGGAGGTTTTGATGTCAGATGACCAGTTCATCATCCCCCTGAGGGCAAAGGCTCTCAAGCTCAGGATGTCAGCTGAACTGTGACTTGTGTTGTTTCAGATCGAACCTCTATTGTTCACCCTCCTGAGGACCGTGTGGTGATTAAGGGGACCACGGCCACCCTGCGCTGTGGAGCTACTCACGACCCCCGGATTTCTCTCCGGTCAGCTCAGTCAGTTATGATACTTTGGGCCTTATTAATATTCTATGAGCTTATGAAGAGAGTAGAGATGAGAAGGGAAAACTTGGGAACTTTGATTTCAGTGGCAGATCCCTGATTACAGTATCTTACAGTCATGGGGTTCATCATTAATCACATGAATCCCATTTTCCACTCCAATCTTATGTATTATTTACAGTGAACTATGTTCAACTTCATGAGTTCAATACAGCTTTTCATGATTTTTCTGCCAAGGTTAATACACTATCTGTAAAATGTACTTGTCAGGGACTGATACCTAATGAGAGAAAAATCCAGAGGGATGGAATAGGATTTCAGCAGTGTTTACACAGGGCTCTACTGTGCTCACGGGGGGTTTCTCTACCCCAAGGTTGGTTCCATTATGAAATGCGGAGAGCAGAGGGCCTATATGTAGAAGAAAGGCAGCCACAATCACTCAGAGCACTAAGGGGAGAACACATATGAAGAAGGGAAGTGGGTCACTTTAGTAATTATGATACCCTGCCTTGGTTTGAATTTAGTGGAGAGCCACCACAAAAAATCATGACACTTCTGGGAGAGTGTGGTTACAGACACATTCTGCTCAAAGGGCAGCATTTGCAAAATAGTTTTTAATTGTTAGAGTTTGAGAATAAAAGAAGAAAGAGATCCTGCCATCATATGGTCACCCTGACCTCAGCTCCAAAGATGTCCTTCTTCGAAGGGGTGGAACAGAGATGTCTTACTGCATCTGGGCTATTTCTGCTTTGAGCAGAGGAGATCACAGCTGATGCATGAGCTAGTCACTAGATTCAGAGACTAAATCAACTACTCAGGGGTATTTGGCAACTTCTGAATCACTGCATCTCCTCCTGGCTCTCTGAAGGTCCCCAGGGCACAAAAACAAGTTTGGTTTAATTATAATACTGAATACAACACTAAATGAACACATAGAAACTAGGAAGTTAAAGACTGTCTCTGAGGCTGACTTAGAGATGATTATCATGCCTGGTAAAGAATTCATTCATTCTGAGTGATTTGGACCTTGATTTCAAAGAAGGAAGAACAAGTCCGTCTCATTTTCTGCTGTTCTGAAAGCTCAAGAAGAGTCCCCTTGGCTCAGTGGGGTTTTCTTGTAGCATTTTATGTGCAATTAAATGGGAAGTCCCTTTCTGAGAGGGGAATGGATTGTTCCCCTTATCTCAGGTTTCACTGCCCCAGGAGCCTTGGGCTGTGAGTGATAATCTATCCCTTCCTTTCCTGTGAAATCTGCCTTATTCTATTTCTGTGTAATTTCAGATGAGTAGTTTGTAGATGTCGGTGCTCTGTGACTATGAAGCCTTTACAGAACTGAGTGTATTTTGAAAATCCGATCAAATTGTTCTGGAAAAGAAAGCACTTTTCATCTCATCTAGCAGTGAATAGAGGCCCTGCTCAGGGACATCTAAAGACTGAGCAGGCTCTTAATTGATTCTGCGTTTCAAAAGAAAAATGGGCTAAAATGACCAGAGATAAAAATTAAATAAAGAACAAATGCAGTTGTAAGGACCATCAGCCATAAGAGTAGGATTTTAAAAAGTGTGTTTATGATTTGGGATCTATTTTTTCAGGAGTTGAGTAATTCCACTCTGGGACTCCTTAAGCACCACTGCCTCCTCTCCCCGTGGCACTGTTGCCTTGCAGGCTTATTTCTGGGGCAGGTGTGTCAGGTACCTTTTAGCGGATGACAGGCATGCAGATGAGCCCAGCGTCCCTAACTCTGAGACACAGAGGTTTCCACTCATCATCATGGGCCTGTTTTAACTTCAGCACCCAATTTTGTGTATTGACCAAAATATCTGCTAAATTGCCCTTTTTGTTTTCCTAAGTAAAATTCACATATTATAAATTTGCCTTTTTAAGGGGCACAATTCAGTGATATTTTAGTATGTTTTCACTGTCATAAGTTGCTGCCTTTTAACAAATAGGAAAGCCCATGACTCTGTTACTAAAGTTCTATAACTGAAGACTATGCTTGGCCCACAGCTACGTGTGGAAGAAGGACAATTCAATCATCACCCCATCTAGCAGCTCTAGAATTGTGGTGGAGAAAGATGGGTCCCTCCTCATCAGCCAGACATGGTCAGGTGATATCGGAGACTACACCTGTGAAATCATATCTGAGGGAGGGAACGACTCCAGGACGGCCCGGCTAGAAGTGATGTGAGTACTGTGTGTTGGTGTCAGCCACCCCCTTGGGATCTGCACTGCTGCATGTAGCCATGTCCTGCTGATGACAGCCACTCCACAGCCACATGGTCATGCTGGGACCCGAGCTGGCTAGCTGAGGCCAGCACCTCATGCTGCATTGCATTGCACCATGACAAGTTGCTTGGGATTTTTTTTTAATACTTTCAAAGGATTCATTCTTAGTGAATATAATTTGACTAAGGGTTATAAGGCCCATCAATTTTTTGGTCCTATTTCCTGTGCAGATGCAGAATCATGACAGGTTATTTACTGTGATTAAGAAATTGTGAGGTTGGGTATGGTCACAAACCTATAATCCTAGCAGACTGAGGCAGGAGGATTGCAAGTTGGAGTACAGACTGGGCAACTTGGCAATTTAGTGAGGCCCTGTCTTAAAATTAAAAAAAAAAAAAGAACTGTAAAAAGGACTTGAGAATGTCACTCAGTGGAAAGCTTTTGGGTTCAACCCTCAGTAGCATGAAAAGAAGAGAAAATAAAAAGAACAGAAGTGAGTTTATTTTTCCACCTGATTGCCCATCAGAGCTTTTGATCAGTGCAAAGTGTCAGGGTCAGCCCACAAGGCAAGACCATTGCCGTGACAACCTGCTAGGCTTTGAGCTTAAGTCAGTCCCAGCTGCCTCCCTGTAGGTAAATAGATACTTTCCATTAAGTCTTTTGAAATCCTGAAAATAGCAAGCAGCTTCCCATTACATCTAATCCAGGCCTTCCTGGGGGTCCAGGGGGCACAGGGGGGAATCATCGATCCCCTCTGTGCCCGTTCTTTTTGCACAGCTCCCTTTTCATTCACAGAGCTAGAAAATGAAGAGCCTGCTGACAAATTTCACTTTTCCAACATGTATTTATTTGGTTTTTTAAAACCATACCCTCCTCGATATTCCCAGAGCACATGAGTACAAAAATAAAACCTGACGTAAGGAATCAAAGCAGTACAGTCACCAGGGCAGCAGCCAGGCCGGTGGCCCATACCTGTCCCACATATCTGCCCCATATCCCTGCCCTACATCCCTGCTAACCCTGGACTCACTGAGCCATCAGGAAAAAGAAGTGAGGGGAAAGATTCTGTATACAGAAATCTTTGAATCCCTCACTGCCCGCTGAGGGGATAAAAGTGAAAGCAGTCTTGCTAGGTGTGGCCTTCTATATCTGCTGCATACATGAATGAGTGACCGAGTGTGCACTTTCCTACTCTCACCCTTTTTGTAGAATTTAAAAGGTTAATGATGTGGAGCAGCCAGTCCAGCCCTATGGTACCTTCAGTACCTACAAAAATTCCATTCACCTCCCATTCTGGCTGTCTTAAGCATGAGTCCTACTCTCTTCCAGCTAGGGTCTTCCCTACCCCCTGTCATCAGCACTGGACCTCCTTTCTGCTCATCTTGTGCCTCAACCTCATCCAGCATGCTGCAGCCATCTGCTGTCTCCATGATGTGGATATATCTTCTGCCAGGGGCCCTGTTCCCATGTCCTCTCCTATTCTACTGTAGCATAGCTTTTCCTGCCCTTTGAACATGGGATGTCTCCTGGAGTCCTTCATTGTCCCCATAGCAGGAACATGGGCTGCACGGAGGAAGGGAAACTCTTCCTCCTTAGTTCATCCACTCCTCTAGCACCTTAGGGCATAATTTTACATTCTGAGTACCTGAAAGGGTATCTTAGAGGCTGGCTGAATGAATGAGTGAATGGATGGATGAATGAATGGATGAATGAATGAGTGAATAGATAAATGGATGAGTGAATGGATGAATGAATGAGTGAATGGATGAATGAATATATATATAT